CACTTGATGTAACTGCATGTACACATCACAAAAACTCATATATATCAATTCTAGTAAGATATCTTACCACTTATTTGGTGTGAGCACTGCTTGAAAGAATATCCAGAAATTGCTCCTGTCCTGTTCACCATTGGCAGGGTTTCTGTAACACTGTCTTTCAGGATGCAAGTAAACCTGTTTTTTTTAAAACATAACATTCCTGGATGAAGATGTATGTTTTAAAATAATGAGTCTTAAAAGTCAGCCCACAGAGAGTCAATGGAAAGGAAAAACGCTATCTCATACCAAAACAAATATTTTCTTAGCAAGACTGTGAGCTTGTTTTTCATCCCAACATCCCGACATTTAAAAGATCATGATGTTCCTTCTTAACAGAAAACAGGAGTGTGTAAACTATGACCTGATGTCAAGTGCAATTCGCTGCCTTTTTCTGTATGGTTCATGAGCTAAGAATGATTTCTGTATTTTTAATGATTACATTTTAAATGATTATATAAGTATTTATATAATATTCCTGAGTTTGCCTCTGTACCCACCCATATTTACTCTCTGCCTTATTAAGAAAAAGTTTGCCAACCCCTGTTGTAGATTCTAGAATAGCAAATTTTGTAAGTTTAAGACACTATGTAAATGTGCAGCAATAACGCACAAAGATGTTGATAACTTCATTCTGCAGTAAAACTTCATTATTAAATTTTCAAGTTCAATATGAAAACAGAAGTGGTGGGTGGAACGTCCTAAAATGTTTTAAAATATGACTATAGAGACCAAAACACTAAATGCAATTTGTGAAGCTTGATAAGACTCCAGTTAATAGTTACACATTACATTTGGGGGACAGTTGAGACGCTATAAAGGGATTCTTGTGAAATTTGTAATGTCTTTTGTGTAGGAATAATGTATGTTGAAATATTTAGAGGTGAAGTGTCATGATGGTTTCCAGTTATTTCAAATGGTGAGACATCTACCCATACACAGATAGGGAAGGCAGAAGTGGCAGCAATTCTTGGTGGTGACAGAGAATCATTGTACTATTCTTTCAAATTACTTAGATAAATAGTGGATTTTTTCTAATAAAATAATGGAGGGAAAGTACCAGTTTAATATCAAATATCAATAGCCAGTTGTAAAGCAAAGAACAAGATGATTAAGGGGCATAAAAGTAGAGAGAATTAAGAGAGGAAGCGTCAGTGTCCAGAGCACGAGAGGCTGCAAAGTCCACAGGAGGGGGCACGTTGTTCCACCCGCTCTGCCTAAAACTGTCTTTTTTCTGTAATAATTAATATTTCTATCAAAGGACAATGTATCTTCCAGTTGTTAACACTGGATTCTACAAAATGGTAGGTGGCAATTTATTGCAGGGAATTGTCGTGTAAAATCTATTTCTTCCATG